CAAGATCGACACCGGATCTGCGCACCCCCTCAGACAGAAACCTTATCGACTTTCCGCGTCAGAGCGCAAGGTAATTTCAAAGCAAGTCAGCGAGATGCTAACCTCTGGCGTAATTAAAGAATTGTCAAGTCCCTGTGCCGCGCCTGTTATCTTGGTCAAGAAAAAAGATGGGTCCTGGAGGTTCTGCGTTGACTACCGACGTCTCAACTCTATAACTAAGGACGTGTACCCGCTTCCTCGCATCGATGATGTCATCGACTGCCTGCATGCAGAGTCTTATTTTTCATCGGTGGACTTGCGATCCGGGTATTGGCAGATCCCCATAGATCCGGCTGACAAAGAAAAGGCGGCCTTTGTTACACCCAACGGTCTGTTTAAGTTTAATGTCTGTTTGGCTTGTGTAATGCCCCCGCCACATTTGAAAGATATATGGACATCGTTTTACGGGGCCTCAAATGGTAAATTGGCCTGTGTTACCTGGACGATGTGGTGATTTTTGGCCGAACATTTGAAGAACATAATCATCGCCTTGACCTCGTTCTAACCTGTCTCGAGGAAGCTGCGCTTACACTGAACTCAAAAAAATGTCGCTTTGGAGAACGTGAAACCTTGGTTCTGGGACACCTGGTGGATAAAAATGGCGTGAGACCGGACCCGCAGAAAGTCGCCGCTGTCAGCAACTTCAAGCAGCCGCAGTCCCCCAGGGAGTTGCGTAGCTTCCTGGGCCTGTGTTCTTACTTTCGTCGATTTGTTCCGAATTTCGCTGATAAAGCACAACCACTGACTGACTTGCTGCAAAAGGATGTCCCTTTCCACTGGACACCGGATTGCGAAGCAGCCTTTAAGCAGCTTCGGTTCATACTGACTTCAGGACCGGTACTACGCCATTTCGATCCTTCTGCTGAAACGGAAATTCACACAGATGCCAGTGGAATCGGCCTTGGTGCAGTGCTCGTTCAGCGCCATGACAATGCTGAACACGTGGTCGCTTACGCGAGTTGTTCGTTGAGCAAGGCAGAACGAAATTACACAGTCACAGAACAGGAGTGCCTCGCAGTCGTTTTCGCCGTGCACAAGTTTCGCCCATACATCTACGGCCGTCGCTTCTCGGTTATCACCGACCATCATTCTCTATGCTGGTTGGTAGGCCTCCGAGACCCATCTGGACGACTGGCGCGATGGGCTTTGCGCTTACAGGAGTTCGACTTCACAGTACGCTACAAGAGCGGTAACCGGCACGCAGACGCCGACTGCCTATCGCGCCTTCCTCTACCAACGACTGAGTGCGACGCTGACAACTTCGACCAGTATATCGGCGCTATTGCCTCTGAGTTCCCTGATCTCGCGACTTTCCGGACAGCCCAACAAGAGGACCGCTCCTTAGATTCTCTGTTGGCCTCCGCAAATGAACACGCAAACCCAAGCTCTTTTGTGGTTCATGACGGCGTCCTTTACAAGAAGAATTATTCCGGACAAGGCGCCTGTCTGCTTCTAGTTGTTCCACGCACTTTACGGGCTCACGTCTTTCGGTCCTTACACGACGACGCAACCTGCGGCCACATGGGCTTCGCCAGAACGCTTCAACGAATCCAGCAAAGGTTCTATTGGCCCAAGATGCAACACGACATGGAAAAATACGTTGCTGGATGCGAACAATGCCAACGACACAAACGTCCCACGGCTACGCCGCCAGGACTTCTCCATCCTGTTCCACCTCCTAACTCTCCCTTCGAGACTGTTGGTGTCGATCTGCTCAATCCATTTCCACGATCGAGCAGTAACAATCGATGGGTCGTCGTCTGTGTTGACCACCTAACGCGCTACGCAGAAACTGCTGCAATACCTGCTGCAACGGCCATGCACGTGTCGCAGTTTATGCTTCGCTGTATAATTCTCCGCCATGGTCCTCCACACGTTGTCATTAGCGACCACGGACGTCAGTTTGTTGCCGACGTCGTTGAAGAGATCCTGCGTCTGTCTGCCTGCCATTTCCGCCATGCCACACCATATCACCCGCAGACCAATGGTCTCGTAGAGCGCACGAACCGGACTCTCACGAACATGCTGTCTATTTATGTCGATTCTAAGCACAAAAACTGGGACAAAGTGCTACCTTACATCACGTACGCGTACAATACCGCGAAGCATGAGACTACAGGTTACTCTCCATTTTACCTGCTGTACGCTCGCTCCCCACGATTTTGTCTCGACACTATACTACCTTTTACACTAGACGTGGAAACCTCGATAGCCGAGACGCTCTGCCGCGCAGAAGAAGCCCGTCGCATCGCACGCCTCCGAACCTTGGCATCCCAGCAGCGTTCTAAGAAATGTTACGACGCCTGCCATCGCTCCGTATCTTATAGTAAGGGCGATCTTGTGTGGTTATGGACACCAGTCCGCAAACGTGGTTTGTGCCAGAAGTTCTTGGCCCACTATTCCGGTCCATGCGTCATTCTTGACCGCCTCAGCGACGTCACGTACGTAATCTCGATCGTCACAAGCAATGGTCGCCGCTCTAGCAAAACAAAACTGACACACGTTGCGTGCCTTAAACCGTGCCACCATCAACCATCTGAGTGACTCGCCCAGAGGGCATCGTCTGCGAACCGGGAAGTGAAACGCGCTAGCGAAGATTCGACAAAGAGGAGGAAGAGACTCGACTGGCTCGCGAGCGACACTGTTGATCCTTCGCTGAGCTACACCTCGGCATTACCCATCTTGTAAATAAACGCGTTCCATCGTCACAATATGCACAAAAAACTTCGCAAGCACAATTCCGACAACTATTCGCGAGCACAATAGCATAATAGTTCGAAAACTCACGTTGCCCAGTTGCCGAAAACCACTGCAGCGAGACAGCAGCTTTGAGAATATAGAGTACGGCGTGTCGTTGCTTAGCGTGTCGCATTCACAGTCACCAAAGGTGAGGGCACGCCGGCCGTGCCCCAGCGAAAGCAGCCGGCAGTTACCGGAGCGCCAATCTACACATTATGTGAGCTAGTTCAGCTCTGAAATGTCACACCAGGTAAGAGCACATGAAAAATAAGTAAACTACGTAAGGTACACACGAAACGAGCACGAAAAAGTGAGCATTGCCTTGTTGACCTGGCAATGTGCCGAACTAAACACAATCTCTGATAGCAGATTGCCTGGATTTGCCACTTCCCTCCCCATCCTCATTTATGGCACTCGACCAAAAATTGAGGTAATCAACTATTTAGGCAGGTGTCAGATACACCGTAAAGTAAGTTTATAGTTCAATTTGACATATATAGAATTACAACTATTTGAAAAAGAATTATATTGTTTTTTGTTTAGGTTAATTGTCCCCTCCTAACCTAGTCGTGCTTCAATCGGCGGCGGGCGTCGATGCCTGTGGCATTAGGTTTTTGACACTATTCGTTCCAAGTTTCGCGACCCATGTAGTTTGACAATGTCAGGACCTTGATCATTCCAGACGAACCCTGCTCTGGCACATGGCAAAACCTAAGGCGGCTGCAGTACCAACAGAGCACTAGAATATCTGTTGTGCTAGAGCCTGACCCCGCTTTACGAGAACCTCGTTTGCACTAACTAGCTTTGTCCAGCGCCAGCATGACACAACGAATAGTAGCCAAATCCAGATAACACATTTTGAGCAGTTTCAACCGACTAAACACCAAAAAACGTTTGCCAAAGTGAGTAACTTGCGAGGTGCGTAGGAGAAAGCAAGGAAGCACTAGCAAACATACAAGTGATTTTTTGAATTAATGATATGCATTGGCAAGTATTCTTGTACTGGGCTGAGTGCGAGACAAGTTACCTACTTTGAAATAGCATGGCTGTAGTATGCCTGGTGCCACCTTGCGTGAATGTAGGATAAAATTAAATTAAGCAGGCAATAGATAGTGTACAAACATTGGCCACTTTTTCTGATCTTCTGAAGGATAGGGCCATGCATATTTATTGAACTCAGGATGAATAATATAAGAACTAGAGAGGCTGCTCGCATCACGAAACCAGCCACTGGCCATGTTCGTCTCTACGACTATACAGTTTGCCAACAAAAGAGCGAGCAATTTTCAGTGGTCATTGAAAGTGAATCACGATTTCCATAAAAGTGTTTCGCTCCCACATTTGCAGAAAGCCGTACGACCACTGATCGGCGGCGTTTTCTGGCAAAGCATTACACTAGGCCATTAAAAAATGTCCTGCGACCCCACCCCACTTTTAGTCGTAAACAAAGTCACTTGCTCCGCAGAAGTCTAGTGTAGTGGTTCTCAGCCATGGATGTGTCGGGGATCATTTATGAACTGGTGGAAGTGAAGGGGGACCCTTTGTAGCGGAAGGAGGGAGGGAGGGTGGTACATAGGTAAATTAACACAACTGGAACGTGAAACAGGGGCCTTTTATTGCTACCAAAAACATCAATAAGTGTGCCGCTTCGTTTTGGACAGTTCATCAATACGATGCACAGTCAAGCTTAAAGAAAAGCGAGGGTTTTGTGAATCATAGAAATAGCTTCGACGACCCCCTAGGGTCTGCGGACCCCCATTTGAGAACCACTATTCTGGTGTACCCACAGCTATTTCAAACAATACCAAGAGGATCAGTTCCTTGCAGATATAATTACTATTGTGGTAACCATAGCACATTTAAAGGAGGCTGACATATCCATAGGTCTCACATAGGCATGCAAATTATTTGAAGATTTCGCACCGCAGTTCGATAAGAGTAGTGCGTTTGTAGTACTGTATTTCAGAGTGACTTCAGCGTTAAAAGAGATCAAAAACTCGGTTTAAGTATCTTACTGAAATGAACTTCTGATCCTCAGCCTTCTCGGTTAGTGCATCACTGGTCAATGAATGACTGCAGCTTGACTGAGGACAGGCAGACCAAAGTGGTAGCCAATGGAATGCGCTAGCAAACAATACATTCCCATAGATGGCACAGAAAGCAAAATATCTCGCTATGACAGCATGAATAAGAATAGATTAAGAAAGGGGCATGCCACACAATTCATTTCGCATCAAAACTTTTAATATCGGACCCAACAGACTTTCACGTGCCAAAGTGCACCTCAGAGACAGCCAGCAGGTCTTAGTTTTACCAGTTGCTTTTCTTTTTCTGTGGATGACATGTTTTTTATACAGTCCAAGATCCTCACAGAGATGTTTCGCAAAAATGTTCAAAGTATATGTACAGATTTACACGTATGAGATCTACTTGTCGGTGTAATCTTCTAGAATATCCCCCATGTGGTCGTTGTGCTTCTTGAATGTCTTTGCCCTCTTTGACGATGGCTTCTTCCGCTTCTGGGCAACGTTCTGTGACAATGAAAGCAAAAAGAAAAAAGCAGTTGAAAATAGCCATCCACAAGTTCGTTCAGTTAAACTCAGTGTGACAAAGTGTGCCTTGAGGATATGAAGTTTGCCGTAACATACAATGCCCTTGTTAAGGTACACATCGTATACACAAATTGATTTCTGCGATGCACCTCCTTAGCATACCTGTCGAGTTCAAGGATTTTGGATCCGAGAGATTTCTGTGGGGGAGGGGCACATATTTATTTGTCCCCTCTCCGTTTTTTTGCACCAATGAAAAAACATCACGAAAAAACGGGGGAACCGTAAACATCCGTGTTGCGGTCTTATAATGGCTTGGAGTGGCCGAACGCACGACGCAAATATTCATATATCCTGAAATTTCACGTCATCAAAATAACTAGCAAAATCTACTTCTGTCAAAAGAGCTCGCGTATGTCTTTCATGAACACACGTGAATGGACAGGACTCGCTTGCTGGATTCCGTGCTAAATGGTGGTGTCGCCCACAATCTCTGACGCCAGCGTAGCTCTCATCGATCGGCCAACCTTCTGTCCGCAATCTTCCTGATGCCATGTAGCTATAGGTGTTCCGTGGTGTAGCTCTCGCCTAGTGATGCCCCGTGCTCAAACTCCTTCGATCATGTCTCCCATTTTTCCCATCTCTTTCTTCTCCACTCCTGCACGGCAAGTGCTTTCTCTTCTATATATTTCTACTACTCTTATTATCCCCCTTGAAGCCGACCAAGAGGGTGTCAAAAATATAATATAAAGACATTTTGGCTTTCACACGAAAGCCTTTCTACAATGCCATTACACCCCGACCACACGAGATTTCGTCTAACTCTCAACTTCATGAATAACACCTATCTAGGGGGAATCCGCACTGCCACAATGGCCCTACTTCAAGATTAAATTTACATATTAACCTTACACAGATTCATCATTCTTCAATTTAAAAGCTTATTATACCGACTAATATGCACTGAGTATATAAAATTTTAACACATAACATATTTTACAGGTGATCACTTGCACTGTACCGAAAGTCAATTCGTGCTACTATTCAAAGTTGTCAACACTTCCTTTGAACCAATAAGAATGGCATTTTTGGATGTTTGAATGAATGTTTATTTGATAATCTATGTACAGATAACAAACACTTGTTGGACCTACAGCCAAAGGTTAGCTGAAGGTCTGGAAAAGAAATACCTATAGGAATATCCTAGCACAGATATCCTAGAACAGCAGGATATCCCTGTAGCACATGCCTTGCTTCAATTTTTTTTTTTTAATATAGCACGCGTTAGTTGGGTCATGACAGATATGCTCATTTTTCTTTATATCCAATATATACTATCCAACTTCGATTAGAAATTACTCGACAAAATCACTATTTGCTTCAAATTTGCTTTGAAGCTAAAATTTACTATTTGTGCAAGCCTAATCACAAACCATTAAAGAGGCAAAAACACCCATGACAACAGCTCAGCACATGTCGCGTGCAGCACGACTCATATGCACTCATAGTAGAGTTACACAAATACGGTACGCGAGTACGGTAAGGTATTACTGTACCATTTCCCCTTTCTCGCTTGTTGTGCTTAAGCCACTCCCAGTTCTGGGGACAGTGCGTCTCCAGATAGACAGACTCATTATTAATGTGCATATGGGCAGGCAACAATGAAGCATGAAAACCCCATAGTAACCCTTGAAAATGCTTTTGTGGTGCTGGGGTGCCTTCAATGAAATTAAGATCGGCAAAAGCACAATGAGCGAAAAAACAGGAGTGGTAATAAGGCACCGTATCTCTGTAACTCACTAAAGACTCGAGTCTAAAAATTAGATTGCTCCCCAAAAGAATGCCACAGCATCTGTCCAGTTGCAGCAGGTCATTTATGTTGATACTGTCAACTGCACCAACTTACCACTTTTTTGACCCCCATGTCCTGCATAGATGTGATGCCCTGCTTCTGCAGGTACTCCTCGATCTTCTGGTCATCTATGCCCTCAACGGCAACACTTCTCCAAAGCTTCTGGAATTCTGGACAATGACAGGAAGTAAAACGAAGGGGTCTGCAGACACTGCTTGTTCGTTGCGAGCAATAACGTTAGAGATGTACACCTCCCCTCGCTTAAAAAACAAACTTGTGCGAAACCTAGAAAAACTTCAACAGCAATTATTAAATGCGAAGGGGCTTTTTGACTAGCCTGTGTAACGCTGTCCCTCCATCCGCACCGCTCCCCTCACCGCGGTGCCAAGTACGTCACGCCCTCCTAGCAGTGCACGGTGACATCTCTCTCCCCCGCCTGCCATTCGCTCGCCACGTGTCAGCTCGCTCGCTTCATTCTCTCCACCGCTTGCAACCCTCGAGGCCACTCCTCACATGAGCATCATCTCACCCACGCAACCTTTTTTCATGTCGGTGAGAAGCTGCAAGCCAGCGGGTGCGCGCGCCGCTGCTTGCCGCGTGATTGCGCTCACTGGTGAGACGCCGTCGTGGCATGTTTCCCGCAACCGTGCGCGTGCGTACATTTTCCAGCTGTCGCCGGCGTTGCGAGGGTTAGCGAAGCCAATTGTGTTTGTGAATGGCAACTTCACCACCAACAATGCATGAGCCAGGGAAGCCGAACGCAAGCGTCGGCAGTGGAAGACCAGCGACACTGACGAGGTGCGAGTCAAGAACATTGGTCGTGTTCAAAAATAGAGATGGCGCGGAGGTAACACCGACGAGATGCTAGCCATGGTAGACAAGCGTCTTCAACGTATCTTGCCTCCCGTGTCGTTGCGTTTCAAACAAACGCTTACACGAGTAAACGCGACACTGAGTTTCGCTTCAAACTGTTCTTCCAGCACCGGCATCGACGCCCGTTTTAACCAGGTCAATGCCGTGCGCACCACTGCTGCTTCGCATCCCATCAGGGTTCCCTTCAGGAAGATGGTCCATAATTTTATTTCTTCCATATGTGATTTCAAGAAGCAGTGCATAATGTGTCTCTACTTGGTGCTTAGTGTGCATTATATCGTATTACTCGCGTAATGATCGCACTCGTGTTATGTTCGCACCCCTAAATTTTGTCGTCTAAATTCGATTTTTTTTCCCCGAGTAATGATGGCACCCCGAACTTGCCGCATCGATATGTCGTGTGCCAAGTCTAGCGGATGATAATCGCCTTTATTATCTGTCTGATTTAAATGAAAGCATTCCTTATTTAGATAGAAGAAACTGTATTGACGCGCTTTATGTACTCACAACCTCCATAACTGATGAAAAGAAGAAAAAAAAATGCGGTCGCTTCGCTCCGTCAGCCACCATGTTTGTTTTGACATCCCGCACTGTTACAGCGGCGGCAGCCTGTTGGTCGACCTGTGTTCATCTCGCAGCAATGTTCTTTTTTTCCTGAGACCACGTTTTTTTTTTGTGTGTGTGTGCTTTGTGATCGTCTGTTGAAGCGCCGTTTCACCATGGGGCGGTGTGCGAGCTTTACTGCCGCGTTCAAGCTGAAGGCACTTGACTACGCGCTAGAGCACGGCAACCGCGCTGCCGGCAGACATTTCGGCGTCGATGAAATCCGGATCCGATATTGGAAAAAACAGCGCGACACACTCATGGCTACTAACAGCACGCGACGGGCTTTCCGTGGACCCAAATCTGGCAAGTTCCCAGACATTGAAAAGGCAGTCCTCGAATACGTGAAGGACATGCGCAAGGACGGTTGTGCAGTGTCGTTTGACATGATACGGACGCAGGAGCGCACAGTTTCCTGGAGGCTGGAAATAGCCACAAAGGACTTTCGCGCCAGTTACGGCTGGACAACATGTTTCATGCCGCGGAATGGACTGTCGCTGGCATTTCCAACGCGCTCGACGGAACGGAAGACAACCCTCTGTGGGACAGTGACGACACTGCCGGTTCCGACAGGGAATCATGCGGCGACGACACTGACGCCAGTGACGCTCCGAGTCTGAATAAACGTTAGCGGGTCAGAGAGGTAAAAAATAAAAGGGCAGTGTACCATGCATGTAGCTCCTGCGTAATAGGTGCATTTTATTACAAAGGCAAGCTTTAATTTACTTTTATTTTTGGTTATTTCCACGATAGCTATCGTAAGAATTCTGATTAACGACTTTTTTGCGTTTTCTGTGCTCGGAATATTTTTTCAAGGAAAATTTGCCCCGCGTAATGATCGCATCCCGAAGTTGGAGTCAATTATTTTGGAAAAAAAAAAGTGCGATCATTATGCGAGTATATACGGTAATCTTGCTACAGTATTGTAGGCTTTGTTAGAGCGATCACTGTTGCAAAAGCTTTTCTGAAACAATTGAGCCATGCAAATAGAGCATACAATAGTATCAAAGCAGGCAAACAGGAGGCAGTAGTGCTTTGATCTGACCAATATTGGTACCATCCACATTTCCTGCAAAAAAGAAGAGAGCTACTTAGATGGGTTATCCATATGAGCAGCATACTTGCTAACGTTGCTGCAGCTGATGATATGACAAGTTTATTTCGTAATTTCTGAACTTTGAAACTCTAGTTGCCCATTCCTGAGGGCAAGCCTACTATTCCCCTTCTTGCCATGAGAATGGGAGCGACTAATACCCCTGTCACACGTGACAACTCAAGTGCACTTTGAGCTAGTGTACTTACGCTCACAAAGTGTAATTTTGGCGTCGCGCTGCTATACAAGGAAATGAAGTGTAGTTTTGAAATGATCACAGTGGCCATCGGCAGATTTGTAGGGCAATATATATTTGTTATTTTTCGCCTGTGTCTCATCGTCGGACCACAATGTCTTCATGGAAGCAGCACCAGTGGCACAAGCCATCGCAAATGACTAGAGAACGACTCACCTACACATGTGCAAAGAAGTAAACAACGCGACAAGCACAGCCATTGCACAGCATGTGCTTCTGCATCCCTCTGGTGGACGTGGCCGCAAACTGCCTGAATGTAATGATAGAGAGGTTTCTTATTGTACTATTACGACTTGCTTTAATACACAGCAGTATTTTTTACAACCAAAACAATGGTTTGAAAACAGTATGAGCACCGCTTTCGGCCGCATCGTATTCCTGTACAAGCCACTGGTACCGAGGCTACACACTTCTTTGCAGCAAAGTGAGGTTGGGGAACACACTTGCCAGCAAATGTACTTTGCAGCGAGTGACACTAGACCTTCTTGTGTGACAGTGCGCAAATTACACTCGCAGCAAAGTGCACTCGCTCAAGTGCACTTAAGTTGCCATGTGTGACAGATATATAAGCTAGGCATGCATAAAGTACTAAAGAATGCAGTTACTAACCTGGTAAAGATCTTTTTAAACACTCCTTTTTTCCCAAAAACTATTTGGGAATGGAATAAGTTACCATACAACTTGGCTGATAGCAAGACTGTAAATTCACTCTATGAAGGTTTGTGCCCCCAGCTATACTGCCCAAACAGGCGTGGCAGATAATGTTCCACATTTAAAAAAAGCAAGAAAGATGGGCCCCCATGTTGAAACATAGTCAACATTAACATTCCTTCTTCAATGGCTTCTTAACCCTTTCAACCTTTATCTTCCCTAATTGTTCTGCTTTCCTTAGAGAGGAAAGCAGAACAATTAGGGAAGAAAGCAGAACAATTAGAGAGGAAAGCAGGACAGTTAAACGCAACTGAAACATCTCGTGTGCTACCCTGCATTAAGAGGGGAGAGATGGAAAACATGAAAGGTGAAGTTTGAGGCAAGCATGCAGCTTACCTTCATCAACGCTGAACTGCAGGGACTTGTCGTTGTAGAAAAGCACCTTTTTCTTGTCGATGGGCCGCATCACGTAAATGACGCTGTCGCCCAGCACCTTGAGGTGGCGTTCCACATTGGGCAATGACTCCTGCACGTCCTCCAACAGCACGCCTCCGAGGCCCCTCTGGTCATGCTTGTCCAGTAGCCGCAGTAGGCTCTTACGGTCCTTGAGGTTGTACGCGGGCCGGAAGCAGTACTTGCCGTCATGCGTCACTTGAAGTTTCGGGTTGTTTTGCAGGGCCTGCGCATGAATTCATTCGTCAAAGCAAAGGAGTGTAAGGCTCCAAAGTTACTTCAAACGCGTACCTCCACTCCATTAAATGCTGATGGGAACACAGAGGAGTCTAAGAAAAAAGATGAGCGAGGTCCTCAAAAAGTCCCTTTAAGTCACACGGAGGCTGTCACCTCTTGTTGTTGGAACGATACAACAGGACCTGTTGTTGGAACGATACAACTTCAAGAAAGTGAACGTGTTATCTTCAGTTGCTACTGCATCTGGCATTTCATAGGAAATTCAAAATGATTTGAGTCACATGGCAAAAGCAGGTCACTGGCGAAAAAGGCAAGGCATTCAAATTTCATGTGCATGTTTTATTTATTTATTTATTTATTTATTACAAGTACCTACATCGCCCATTGGGCATTGTTGTAGGGGGCTTACAGTAAAAAATAGAATACAAAACAGCAAAATTCAAAGCAAATAAGTCGTGCATAACAGTATACAGGAGAAATCAACACTTGTAGTACAGCATTAGAACAAAAGTACAAAACACAGGATTATACAACGAAAGCAGTAATTATACATATAAAAAATCAACAACCAAGAGAAGTACAAAGCCAACGTTAAATATATGGGTTATTTCATCAGCTCAAAATGCTATTTCAATGGCTGTTAGGAAATTAAAATCAGAGAATATTGGTATTTTTAGTGCATTCCAGTCACTAATAGAATTTGGAAAGAAAGAGTATTTAAGGACATTCAATTGACAGGTATATTCTCTAATTTTATATAAGTGATCTTTCCGTTCGGACATATAACTAGGCGTCTTTAAATACCGCTCTTTATCTAGCCCAGTCTTGCCGTGATATATATTATAGAGAAATTTAAGTCTTTGAACTTTCCGTCGTCCACAAAGGGGTTCCCATCCCAAGGCCTGAAGAATTCCAGAAAACCTTATTCTAAAATCGTAGTTTCCTGTAACAAACCTAGCAGCCCTTTTTTGCACCCTCTCCAACTTTTCTTTCAGTACATTCGTGAAAGGGTCCCAAGAAACACAAGCATACTCTAAAATTGGGCGCACATTTGTAATATACAGGGTTTCCATGAGTGTTTGCGGCGCGTCGCTGAAATTTCTTTGGAAAAAATTAATTAAGCGCGAAGCCTTGGCTGTGATTAGATCTACGTGACTGGTCCAATCTAGTGTTGCCGTGAATGTTACGCCGAGATACTTAACTTGATCTACCTTTTGTACTGCGCAGGAATTTAGGTAATAAGACCTGGATACCACCTTTTTTTTGTTATTAAATTGCACATGAAAACATTTATTTAGGTTCAAACTCATTTGCCACTGAGCACACCAAGACACAATCTTATTGAGGTCAGACTGAAGTACTGTAGTGTCATCAAAACACTTCACTGGGCAATACAAAACACAATCATCAGCATAAAGCCTCACTGTTGATTTCAAGCCCAGTGGAAAATCATTGATAAAAATCAAAAACAGAAGCGGCCCCAGGACCGACCCCTGTGGCACCCCGAACAGTACATCAGCTGTTGATGAAGACACACCATTTATCACAACACATTGCTTGCGGCCGCTGAGATAATCCTTTATCCAGTCTATGAGGGTTTTAGGAATACCAAGAAACGACAACTTATGAAGCAAAAGACTGTGGGGGACGACATCAAAAGCTTTTTTGAAGTCCAAAAAAAAACAGCCTCCAATTGAATGCCCTGGTCGAATGATCAAGCGATGTCATGTACGAATTCGGTTAGCTGTGTAACACACGAAAGGCCTGCGCGAAAGCCATGTTGAGACGGAGTGAAAAAATTATTATCTTGAAGGTGTTTTATAAGGCAAGAATAGATTATGTGTTCCAGTGTCTTGCAACAAACGGGGGTTAGCGATACCGGTTTATAGTTAGATACATTATCACGGACGCCGGATTTGTGCAAAGGCGTGATATTGGCTAACTTCCACTCTCGTGGCAATTTTCCACACCTTATCGGTACTTCATACAAAGCAGCTAGAAATGGAGCAATATGATCAGCACATCGTTTTAGTATGTGGTTTGAAATACCGTCGGGACCATGCGCCGGTCCCGACGGTATACAATAGCAGTGATGGAAGCAACATTTTGATTTTTGGGGCCGATTCCAGACCTGAAAGAGATGCTTGTTTGGAGCAACTATTGATGTTTTCGGAGCAGGTGACAAAGTTTTCCAGACTGTTCCTGGAGTTTAAAGCGCCACCTAAGTTTCTCATAAATATGAATACATATCAAACATATTGCAGATGCATTAATCACTTCGAATAACACGAAACAAATATTTAAGTGGATGAACGGTCACTGAAGGCCAATAAGATGACCTACCCATATTCGGAATGCCTATACTTGTGGTAGATATTCACACAGAATGTGGCAATATCATATAAAAGCGATTAAGCTGAGCAACAAATTACAAAAGCAGCCATTGCCACAACTATTGCCGAAGCAGCAGTTTATAATCGGTACGAATACTGTATGTTATTTCATATTTCACTAAAACAGCCAGCATTGGAAATTTCAAAAGTAAGTTAAGCTAAATGAGCTATACACTGAAATGCCAGTTCTTGTGACATAAATGAGCTAAAAGATGATAAAGTGGTGAATGTAATCAGTCACACATCAAAATCGTCAGAGCAGCAGTTACTGAACTACCATATTTACTCGATTCTACCACGCCCTCGATTGTAACGCGCACCCGGTTTCCCCGATGAAAAAAAAAAGTAAGACATCGACAGCAACGCCCACCCATTTTTCTCGTTGGCCTACACGATCACACCACTCGGGAAAACGACTCCTTCCGGGGGCGTCTTCGGTTTAAATATGAGGTACGAGGGAAGCTTGTGCCTATCTGGCGTGCAACGGAGCATTGCCGTCGCTCTAGTTTTACCGTGGCCCGATGTCAACACGCGAACTTGCTTCGCCCCTTTCTTCTCGACGGTTGTGGTGCCAGGCATGTTGAAGTAAAGAGGCGTCTGATGGGCATTCCCAATTTGCCCAAGCAGGTAGCCATTGTTGTGCCCCAAGTTTAGGACGAACCTTTGAAACTGTGAAGCTTTTCATCGTACTCCTCCGGAAACTTTTCACATATGCCCGTTCGCCTTAGGAGGGAAAAGCCATTCCTCTTCATAAAGTTAGTTATCCAGCACCTGCTCGCTTTAAACTGGCTCCGCATTAGCCCTTTTTCTAAGGCTAACTGCATAGCCTGCACATGGAGCAGTTCTGTCGTCACAGGCCGCTGTGCCGCTCACTGCTCAATCACATACTCGCCGAGCAGCTCTTCAATTTGAGGAAACCGATCCTGCTGTGGTCCACTGAAGCCTTTATCTTTGCTGTCGACAATCTTCTGCTTTTATTTCCGCCACTCCCGCACGCACATTTCGGCAACTCCGAACGACCGCGATGCGGCCCGATTTCCGTCCGTTTCGGCACACGCGATGACTTTTTTTTTAAAGCGGCATCGTGGTGCACTCGTCGAGTTTTTGGAGTCGGTCCTTCCATGTCGTCGATGCTAATGTACTACAAGATGACGAACTCCTCAGAACACGTACGAAGTGTTGCACATGGGAAACACATAGGCAGAAATGCCCAACGCGCCATGCCAACGCACGTAAGGGACGGGCATTTTGGAAATGCCGATGGCAATAGAATAACCATATTAATTTTTTTTTCGTACTCGATTCTAACGCGCATGCGATTTATGAACTCGCTTAACCGGAAAAAAGGTGCGCGTTAGATTTGAGTAATTATGGTAACCTCACACGCATTTTACAAAACTAGTTTGTTTGTCTGATATACATACATATATATATATATATATATATAATACATATATGTAATGGTTAGGAGTTAGAAGTTGATGAGGAAGGAAGAAGAAGTGCTTATGGAATAAACATGGCGTATGAGCCAGGCCACGTCTCTCAGTCATCATAGCGTCACACGAGCCGACAGGATGAAGACCTCGCAACCACTTCATTGCCCGGCCATCATCATCGAAGACCTCAGCGACACGCAGTGACCGAACGCGCGACCACAGAAGAACGCGGACAACCAAGACCACCAAGCATCATGACAGCAGCATCAGGTGACCTTGACATCCCTAAGTACACCGGATCAGCGGACGACGGACCCGTACAGGACTGGTTCTACCTGTACGAGCTCCACGCTACCGCTGCATCATGGTCGGAACGGGAGATGATCATCAACTTTACCGACTACATCTCCGGTGAGGCTTTCAAATTCTACGTCACTCACATATTTCAAAATGACGAGTCATATAAAAAGATTAAAGAAGAAATGACCATCCTATTTCAAGAATACAATGACGACTATGACAAAGACTCGCTTATAACCAACCATCCACAGACAATCGCACTCGGTTGTCAATTTCACAAGCAGTCTTCAAGCTTACCAACACCCAACATGAATCGACCATTGCCACAACACAAGGTGGAACATGAGTACACTGACAGGCGACCAAGCGTATTTCCGGAAAACTACAACCATCGCGCGGGCCTCCGTTTTACACGCAAAACGGCACTTCCGAAAACATCGCTTCAGCATATGACACGAGACGTTGCTCAACCACTTGATGCTCCCTATTCTTCGTCTCGCATACATGGCCCGCCACCCGGTTTTACATCACGTGGCTCCTCAGGTGCTCGAAACGCTAACCGTCTGCCTCGTAAGGACACCGTGTTCACAATAGGTGAACCATCGACGCATTGGGAAAATACCCAAACACGCCATGAGGACTTGAAAAGGTGTTTTTCATCACAAGACTATTTCTATGGCTCAGAAGGCTGAGCAGTCCGAACCTAATAATGCCACCTAATACCTAATAATGCCACTCACAGCTCCAAGAATCGAAACAATTCAGAAGTAATACATACATCAAACCTCCCACGCAGCTGTCTGCCAGAAGCGTTCATACTGGACCACCTTACTGAAGCTTTTGAAGAGCATGCTAGCAAT